TAAATAGAGCAAATCTTCATTCCAGAGTTTTGAACTTTTAGAAAATCTCAAAAAATCGCAAATATGAAATATTTTACAATTTTTTATCTTCTTATAATCGTCTCGGCGACATTGTGTTCCGCTCAGGCTCCAATAAATGCATCGATGTCATGCATGAGCACTATAAATGAATTCCTATCTACTCCAGAAGTTAATTCGTGTTTCCCATACACGAAAACTATCTTACCGGCACTTACCAATTCCTCACAAGATCCCATAGCGATTTTAGACTCCATCTGCTCCTTGCCAAAATGTAGTGACTCCCTGATCTCGTCATTTTTAAGTACCGTAAAAAAGGGCTGTGCGCAGGACCTCGCCCAAAACAACACTGACATCGTTACGTTAACCGAGTTAATTCCACTATATTCACCAACCCGTGATTCAATATGTTTCAAGGGTCCCTCAGGAGGATACTGCTTAACTGATGATTCTGTGCTGGTGCAGAAATATGGAGTAAATACAAATTCCAGCGACCCGCTCAGCAATGTTCCTGCGTCAGATTTTTGTACTAACTGTAACAAGGCGATTGTGAATACGTATTTGAATTTTATAAAAACTAATCCTGGAGTCATTGATCCTTTACTAAGTCCAGTTCAAGTGACCGGATTAAAGGCAATAATGACCGATAAATGCGGTTCTTCCTTCTTAGGTATGTGTTCGATTCGCATATGACAAGTGATGTTGCGGTTGACTGTGTGTATGTTCTAACGACTTCTCATTTTTCTTAATAATTAAGATGGAAAGATTCCAGATACCACATCAAAAACAACTTATTCAAATTCACCCCAAAAGTCCAATAATGGTTCCTCTTTCAGATTTTCCAGCGTTAATTATTTTATATCGATCGCTACAATATTGGCTTTGTTGATATTCTATTAGGGAAATAGATCGATTTTAAATTCATGTAATCAATTCATTCTCGAAAAAAATTTTTTTTTGTAACCATTCAATTGCATTTTATTTTAGCATTTTATTTTAAATAAGCGTAGACTTTTTAAAAAATCTTCAATCATATAGTAGCTGTCATAAAAAACAACACACACACATATTAACTTATTTCTACAGTAGTATTTTTGTTAATAAATGAATTGTTAAACTTGTAATCAATGTTCTTGATGATTAATATGGGTTCGATGGTAATTTTTATATAAGAGGTGTTTTTATTGTTTTATTTATTGGATTGTTTTTTTTTGCAAAATTACAGCGTCTTCATATTATTGATAAATATAAAATTTCTTATACGCACATATCCTAATCAATATATTAACAGATAGATATTGTTTATTATATTTGAAAAAGGAGATAGCGTTGAAAAAATAATAATTGCTTTTTGGAGATTTAATTTTTTTTTTACAAGTTATTTAAACGGAGAATCACAAATCTGTTAAGAAATTTGGTAAAATGCTTTGGAAGATGTATTTCATATTATCCTGACTTTTGAATATTATCGTTACACGGAAAAATTCGAAATACATTTATTATATATAAGGCTAAACAATTAATAATTACATTAGAGTTTTATAGAAATGCAAGATTATGTACATTGTAGCGTGATCAATGCATAATCAATGCAATGAATTATTGTGGCCTGATCCTAGGGCATTAATGAGTAGAGCTTACCGAAAATCCGAATCAAATAATTCGAATACCCCTGAATTTGAATTCGAATATTCGACAAATTTTATTCAAACCCTGCATATATACATGTATAATATTATGATAATGATAACGATAAAAAAAAAAATCCTTTTTTTTTTTTTAATAAACGAAAATTCAAGTTAAATTTATTCTATATAAAAATTAATTAATTTCTTGCTTAAATATAGAATCAGAAAATTTCATATTTTGTTTAAGAAACATAAGCTGACTAAAAAGATTTGGATGCAAACAATTTCTTTTTGCTGTCAAATGTAATCCTGCATCCAAAAAAAGCCTTTCACTTGGTACCGATGTTGCGGGTATAGCTAAATATTTAAATGCAAGATAAAAAAGAATTGGAAATTGGATTTTTCGTTCTTTCCATCAAATTAATGGAATAGTTTCTTCTTTTTCTACTGGTAATTCTAAATAATCTTGAATTTCTTCTTTTGAAATATCTACTTCTTTGGTTTCAAATAATTTAGATAATAAATGATTTGATTGATTTGTACTATAATTAGAGGTAATTGATAATTCAATATAAATGCTAGTACTAGTATTTGAATTAACTATATCTAATTGTCATTTTAACTTTTCTGATGTAAACTTTTCATATAACAAAGAAATAGCTTTTTCTTGAATTGTTATTGAAACAAATTTAAGTTTTTTGAATCGAGGATCTAATATAGTTGCTATTAAATTGATTTCACTTGACATATTCCAATATTGACATATAGATAAGTGAATACTTGTACATAGTTTTTCCAATAAACCATTTGTTTCTATTGAAGGTTGAATTAATCTTCATTTTTTAAAATGAATATTAGTATTAGTTTGGCAAGTTTGTTTTGATATATCTTTATTAGATTCAACTAAATAAATAAATTATTAATATACTATACATATATATTTAATAAAAATTACATATATATACTAACTTACCAAATTATTCAATTTCTTTTAATAATTGCAATGATTTATCAATATTTTTCAAAAATGTTTTAACTTCTTTTTTAATAAACATATAGTTGAATTGATTAAATTCAATATTGGATAAATAACAGAAGAAAGTATTTTTATAGCATCATAAAATGAAATCAAAACATTAACAATTTTTTCAAGTAAACTAAAATAAAAATATTATTAATTTAAATAAAAATATAAATTAAAAAAAAAATTTTTTTTAATATTTATATCCATTCAGTATTATTTAATATAATAGTATTTAAATATTTACCATCTAATTGTACATCACGTAATGTTTATAAATATAAAGTACCAGCTAAGAATTGAATTACATGCTTAAAATGTAATAAACAACTCCAAGCTAAATAGATTAAATTCTATTGTATATGAACATCCATAAGTATTTTTAAGTTTTTTCATAATTAGTTGTATATTGTACTTTACAAAATTATTGTGATTGTTGTGAACTATTATGAAAAAACAAAATAAGATTTGTTACATATGTTTTAAAAGGTTAACACTCAAATGTAATGTATATGTTGCACAAGATATATGATTTATATTTAATCAAATTTTTATTACTTTTTTAATATTGATACCATTATTAGTAACTGTAGCAAAAATCTTATTTTTAATATTCCAAGTTTTGACAATAGAAGAGAACATAGTACAAATATTTTTTAATATATATGGAGATGGTAGTTGTTTAATTAAAGAAGAGTTTTTTGAAATATACAATATTATCTAATCAATTTGCGATAATTCCAATAAATGATTTATTAGTGCAAGAACTCCAAAAGTTGGTTATAATATTGATATTTGTTGTTTTTGAAAATATTAATTATTCATTTTTTAGTCCAATTATAGGTCAAATTAATTAGATCATATGTTTTTTTATCAGATGGCACTTGATAAGCAGGTTCAAATTTGCATAACATTTTTTAAAATAATTTTGAGCATAAAACAAATAAAGGTTGACAATCATCAATTATCCATTCAATTATTATTTCAATTAATTCATTTTGTTTTCTACTACTAATCTTATATTGTTTATCAATAGAATTTTTCTAAATAAAATAAAGATGGTTTAATAATTAAATTTAATAATATTTAAAAAACAAAAATATATATATATTTATATATTCAATAGAATTTTTTTATATTATATTATGGATTTTTTATAAATGACTTGTGAGATTAGTGGTAGAATTATGATAATTATATACTGTATTTGTTCTAAACCAATTTCTTAACAGAGAAGACAATGAGCAAACTGTTTATTATCACCAAATTTTTTCATATAAAGCCAAATATGACTTGTAATAGAATCCTGTTTATTTTCAGTTTCTAATTATAAAAATTCATGTAATGTAAAAACAATTTTCATCATTTGAAAGATGGTTCACTATTTTCAAAAGAAAACTTGGAAATTATTGATGTTGATTTGAAATTAAAGTAAAGAGAACCATTAGATATTATATTTTGAATACTATCAAACATAATAGTAAAGGATAAAAGTTTAACTTCATACATATTAATGAATTTTTTAAATAATAATCAGTAATAATAAAGATACAAAAGATATAAATCGATCAATAAAAACAAAATATATAGCTTTTGTTTTAAGTATGTATTATAAATAAAATAGATTATCGAATAACATTATTTGACAATATCTGTATAAACAAATTAATTTGATCAAATTACAAATAATATATTTGAATAATAAGCTTTATTAATGAGTTCCAGAATTAAATTATATATTCACTCTCGTTTTTGATAAAATTTCTATATAAGTTACTGTATTTCTATATTTAACTTTATCTTTTTTCTTATTAATATCCAATTTTTAAAATAATTTTGTCTATTTATATTTTATACTTACTTGCATAGATCATAAAAAGATTTCTTTCTTTTTTTTACAAGTTCTCCAATATATTTAACCAAATAATTTTATTGTGCCTTCGATATATATGATTGTAACAAAAATAAATATTAAGAGATTATTAAAATCAATTTATAATTTGATATTATATCTATTTTTTTGATATTATAATATGTTTGTAATCATTGCATTTTAACTATTTTAATTTAATTTAGTTTTTTAATTTATAAAAAACAATGTTCAAGTTATATATACAGTATTTGAAATTTTAAATGAAAGTTGTTATTATATATATAATATATTTAAAATAATGACAATATTATTTATCATTAGTTTAAATCAAAATTTCTTTAGTATTTATTTTTTATAGATTGTTTAACAAATTAATAATTATATAGAAATTGTATATCAATTCAAATAATTCTGTTAATATTAATAACTTGTATATAAATACAAAATATCATTATTTACAAAAATTGTATAAAATTTATTTGCAATCTAATAGAAAATATTGTACTTATATTAAATATTAAAGATTGTAAATGAGCAATGTTCTTATTTATAATATAAATCTATTGTGATATATTATTTTTTTTAAAAAAAAACAATAAAATTTGTTAAAATATATTATAATAATATTATTTGTTAAACAAAAAATAAAAAACTTGTATTGTTAATTATATAATGATAATTATATGAAATGTAATAGAAAAAAAAATTATATTAAATCAAATTATTTCAAAGATATATTATTTATTTATTTATTTATTTATTGATAATATCAATTTTTAGTAATAAAATTTTAACAATTATTATTATTATCAGCTTTGAAATAATTGATCAAAGAGTATAAAACACATATTGCATTACTTTTGATTGTTTTGAACAAAGAATTAGATGATTATTATTGTACTATATGAATACTATATAAAAAAGTAAATTTCATTGCTTATTTTACTGTTGTATTATATTGCAATTTCTTAATAAATAAGTTACAATGCAAAAGCATCATACAACTCTTGAAGAAAAGGTTCAAATTCTTCTTTCATTACAAAAAAGATATACTACAAGAGAAATATTAAGAATATGACATATTAACCTATCCACGGTTTCCCATATTAAACAAAGATGACTTGAAAATCACTCTCTTGAAAACCTGCCAAAGTCAAATCATTTACTTATCACAAATAAATCAATACAAAAAAAATTATAAATTTTATTACTTTACGCAGATATTCTTCTGCTCTTGAAATCAGAAATTATCTACTAAAACAAGAAAATATGGATATTTCAGCATCTACTATTCAGTATATACTTCGAAATAATGAATTAGTATTAAGAATTAAAAAAGAAAACCTTATTTAAGCAAAAAACACCAAAAGTGTCATCT